AGTTTTACTTCTTTTACAGTTTGTCTTCTGATACCTTCCCCAAGAATCAAAAGTAAAAATACTGCAGGTAGGTAGTTGTAGTGTAGCTCTGTAAGCTGTACAAGAGCCAGAGACCTCAGTGAAGTAAACGGCCTTCAAAGCTATCAGTGGAATAAAATCAAGGCCCAAAACCAGCAAGTTTTAGAATCAGAAATAAGTTTGCCCATATTTGAGGGATTTTCCCCTCATCATCCTGTCATTGTTGTTTGGAGCATGTTTTGGAGTCTGCATAAATGATATTGTGTGTTTTGGAAGGCATGTTCAGTGGTTCAATGCCAGGTACAGCAGAAAAGGGAATAAAAGGTGGCTAAATCTGTCTCTTTGCTCTTCAGTAGTTAATAGCACATTGTGATTGAACTCTCTCTCAATGATATGTGATTGTGCTTCAGTTCTAAATGTTTGTTGTTCTGTTTTCTGAATTTCAGCCATAATATACGTGAAGGAATTTGTAATGTGATGGGTAAAAACTCTTTCACATGGAAATGGCATCTCCTGAGAAAGTTTGAAGTTGTCACTATCCTACATTTCCCTGCCCCTTTGCTATTTGGATTCTTCTGTGCCATTTTAATCAGGCTTTCAAGGGGAGGTATTCAGATTAATGTCTGAGTGTTTTTGTATGATTTCTTTGTTTTCCCACAATTACTCGAGAGATAGTAGAATCACAATTAATGATTTAGATTTAAATACCATTCTTCTGGGGTTTTTAAAAATGTTTTTTGAGTATGTATGTATGAGTGAACTGAACAGCACCATAACTAATCTAAAGATGGTATACCAATGATCTCAAATATTGTTCTGGTTTCAAATACTTTTTAAAAACTTCTGTTGTAATCCTTCCCCAGTGATATCAAAAGTTGGCTTTGGTATATTTTCCAGGTATTCTCTTTCTTGAAATTAAGACCATTCTCCTTATTTTGATTCTGTCAGATTTTAAACCTGAATATTAAACTCTTAGAAGACAAACACTAATTCTGTTAGTCTTCTCTAAAACATGTTTGAAACACATGCTGAGTTTAGAACAGTTGTCATGAAAACTTGCACTGATGATTTTTATATCATCAAAACACTGCTTACAAACAAAAATATTGAATTAAGACTGGCAAATGCCTCATTGTTACCAAACCTGTGTTCTCTTAGTGTTTCCCTCTGATATTTACATATTCAGTTACCAAAACTTTATCTTGCACTTCACTGATACAAAATTTCCATTATCCAATATGCAGTGAGATCACTTTATTTTGTTTTCTGTCTGAACTGTAGTGTACAAGGACAGGAGCTGGTAAGAACAGGTGAGCTCCTTCAAAGCTCTGGAAATCTTTGTAGCTAAAGAAGTGGGAGAGGAAAGTTGAGTCTTTCTGTACATTTGCACATACTAATTTAGCAAATGGGCTCCCCTATAATTCACTGACTAGCGTGGTCATCTTTCATTTCATAAATTACTATGCAGTTTTGTTCACTGTGAGTATAATCTGTATTTAGTGACTGCAAGATGCTTATGCCACTTATTTCTGTTCCATCCAAGCTGACAGAAGTTATTTGATAATGCACATACTGGTATCTTAAATTGCAAAAATGTAAATTTGAAACTTGTATAATGTTCTTGTGCTTTTGAAATAAAATATCTTGTATATGTATATTTAAAAAAAAAGGAAATAAAGTAACTTCTCGTAGATTATTCAGTTTTTATTTGAAGGCACTTTGGCACCTCACAGTTCATATTACAAGAGTGTTATAGTGGTGTCTGTCAGTAAAGGAAAAGAGAAGAGCTGGTAAATGGTTGGTAAACTATCAGTTATCCATGTAGGCTGTATCTTGGTCGTAAGGAATCGTAGCATGCCTTTTGTTATGTAGAGATACACTCCACTTGAAACTTGTCCTAGTATTTTACAGATGCAAATTCCTGCAGTGTCTAAATAAATTTCTACAAGAATTTAAAAGTACAGAATTTAATATTTATATGCCCTGAAACTGATCTAGTTGAGTGCTTCTGGTTTTGTGTCTTCTTGAAGAACTGGCTGTAGTGTTTGGCAGATATTAACCTCTAGAAAGGAAAACTTTATGGTGTTGGTCTCATCTGCTGTGTGATACATACTTTTTAAAAAAGTGGTTTATTATAGACCTAAGGAAACAGTCAAGACATCTTTTACATAGCTATGACCAGTACTTCTTGCTTTTTATGTTACAGGCTGCTGGTTGTCATCATGTTCTCTCTGCTTTGTTGAAGCTTTGGGCACTATTTGAGTGTTAATGATGTTGCTCTTTATGCTTATTCTTAGTATATGCTTATTCTTAGTAAATGATTTTTTAAGAGCTGAACTACTGAAAAGGTAAAAGGTAGACGTAGATAGTTTGAAGCCTACTAACAAAAATGTTCTGAAGAAAATTAGAACAAGAATCCTGTTAATTAAGGGAAAAAAGAAAAGCCACAACACTATTTCTTGTGTAATAAAATCTCAGTGTAAAAAGTTATATAGAGGAGTATTTTCACTATTATATACTTTGCATTATGGTTGAAATCCACTTCTTTTCTAGACAAGAACCTTGAATAATCTCCAATGTAAACTATTCGGATTCCTAATACAACATATATGTTGTTACTTAGATTCTTCTAACCTATTGCTTGACAAGGTGTTCAAAGATACTTTATCAAAAATAGAAGTAGTTTCATTTCTGTGATGCAATCTCTTCTCTTTGTTTTTATCAGTATTTTCCAGGTAGGCTAAATTGGAAGGTTGAGACAGGAAAAAATGGCTAATAATGAAAATCCACTTACTTACATATGTCTCAAATCTAGTTATTTCTAATCCTAGCTACATTTCTCTGAAGTTCCATTCAGTCCAGTCAAAATTGTTCATGAAAGTGAAGTTATGTAAAGGAAATTTGCATTGAAGGAGAGCAAGCTGAAATTCCAAGAGGTGATATATACATGGTTTTGTGTAATGGTAAGAGATGAGGTAGAGAGTTACACATGAGACATTACAATGGGATTTGACTTTTCTTATTGCTGTTCATGAGATCAGTGTCAAAAAAGGAGTATAGTTTATGCTGTGTAAGTACAGGTTGTCAAACAACTTAGAGTCCATCAGACTTAATTTTAGGTTTTTAGGCTTTATGCTTGAGTGAATGAGCTGCAGCAAAATGTTGTGAAGCACAAAGTGGAGACTGTGGATTTCATGATCGTTTGAAGTCCTTGCTGTATTTGTGGTTAGCCTTTTTAGAAAACTGCAGAACCTTATCTCTCCTCCTCAATTGTTCCTGAAATTTAATATTGGCCTCTTTGGGTACAAGAATTGAGATGCTCATCGCGAGGTACCAATTCCTGCTTGAACTATGTTCATTTTAACAAAATCCTAAATGTGCTGCATGTTTATATTTCTTACTACTTTTTCTCTGTGACCAACATAGACTTAAGTGTTTTCAGTGGCAATGAGCAAGCTTTAAAGGAAGAGCATTTTACATGCAATTTCTAAAGAAACTCTCATTGTGCCTTCACCAGAAACTCAACATTACAGTGTTTAATTTATTTTTAAAATTAAGAATTTGATAAAGAAGAGTTTTATGCATAAGTGAGTTCCTTACTCTGGAATTTTCTGTCTTGTTATGAATTTTGGGCTGGATTAAGCATTAGTAACAAATAGGATAGTGTCCCCAGAATCGTATTTATTTTTGTATCTGAGCAGATGCCCTGGCTTAAAGGCTTGGCTCACTAATTCCATCTCCGTCTTTATGAATTACGGAGAATTAAAGATGGAGTCTGTGCTGCTGCCTGAGTTTGTTTCCTTGATCCTGTGCCTCTGGTGTTAAATACTGCAGAAAACCCAAGCTATCATGACAGGTGCTATAAAGGAAGTTGCATATGCAGGGTGTAGCACTTCCATGTTCTGAGAAAATCAATAAATACAAAGCAAAGAAGAAAGCATTTGTTAACAAAAGTAAATTTTATCCTGATACTGTGAAACGAGCTGTTATGCTTTTGTAGTGTATTCCTATCAGTGGAGACTCTGAATGCCTAGACAGGATAGAAATTAACAGTCTAATGATTAAGTAATTACTGGTAATAGGTCAGACAAGGACTGTTGCCTGTGAGATGTATGCTGAAAGTAAGCTAATTTCAAAACCAATCACATTCCACTGCTGCAGTTTGGGGCAGTTAGCTGAGAGATAAAGGTTAATATGCTAAATGCTGATTAATCTTTTATGGTAAAATGTGTTTTCTTCATATGCAAGTAAATGAGCTATGTGGAGGTCAGAGAAAATTGTATAGCTGGATACTTAACCTCTGCTCTTTGTGGCAGTGTGGTGCAGCTACTGCTGGATGGCATTTTTCTGTCTTGACAGAGATGCTGAGGCTGGATCATCAGTTCACTCTTCCTTCCAAATCTGTTTTTTCAGAACAGATTCTTGACAAACCCATTAACTGGAAAGCTATCAAAAGAGTAAGCTCACAGTTCTTATAATTCTACAAGCTTTAGTTATTGAGGTCTAGGGCTGTTTTGCCAAAAATAGAATAAAATCATCTTGAGGAAGTGATTGCTATTGACTGACACAGGTGACACTTGGCGTACTTATCTGATACACTGCATTTAAAGAAAAACATGTGAAATCTGATCAGTTTGCAATACATGAGTGTCTTTCTCCTTGATCTCTCAAAGAACTACAACTTTCTGCATTCATTCTTTTCCAGCCTGTATCAGCTAATTCTAGAGCTGCTGGTAAGTACTTTTGGCTCTCAGAAATGGCTGAAGGAATTGCACACCAGTTAAGTTTTAATCACTCACTGGGCAAAGTGAGTGATTAAAATGAAGACAAGAAGTAGGCATACAGGTAAGTGCAGTGCAAAGGGAAGAATTAGCAGTTCTTGTAGAAGGAAGTCTCAGCTTATAAATCTAGTTCTTTGAAGGGGTTTTAAAATGCTTAAGTGTAGGCCTATCATGTTAGGCAGTGGAGAAATTCCGGTTGAAATTATGGTCATGGACATAGCCTGCTGGAATTACACTACAGATTATTACATTGCACAGTTTATTTACAATATATCCTTATACTATAATCTTTTGCTTTTTCTCATGGGATACAACAATATTTAGGTAAAGAAATTTTTACTGTTATTTTGCACAGTTTCAAAAGCAGGAATGGTTCTATTTAAAATATTTCAGTGATAAAACTTCTTTTACTTGATTATCCAAAGAATGCACTCACAGCAGTGACAAGTGAAATATTTCATTTGGTTTTTCCACCTCTGTTTTTATTGGTACTTTCTTCCTGCTGGCCATTAATGATTGATTACAGTCATAGGGCATCCTGTAACTACAGGTGTTTTGGGCATTGAAGGCTTTCACTCCATGAATTGACCAAGCTCCTGAACATGGTAGCAGGGGCTTAATGTGTGAGTTGTCAGTCTGTCTGCCTTCATTGATTACAAATAACCTCTTCCCACCCCTGGATCAGTGTGGTAAAGTACTTTTGAAACTAGGAGCTTCCAAACATCTAGGATCATCAGTGTTTGTTTCATAGGAAGTATCTACTTGTTTTTAAACTTGTACTATCACATGCTAGTTGGAAGCTTAAATATCCCTGTACAAGCTGTCAGTTTCCTTAAGCAGAGAACTCTTTTCAACTGTACTCTTTGACTTTCAGGGGAGTGGGGCAAGTAGCTTTCTCTAAACTATTGGAGGTGGGGAAATGAAAAGGTACTTCAGACATTTTGGGAAAAACAAGTTAACTTTTTTTGTGGTAACTTTTATTGCCTTCACCTGAATTTCACATACATGGTGCATTCTTGTAGGCTGTAATATACATATATTTTTGCTAAAATTTCCCCATTCCTAACTTGTACCAGCAGAATCTTCATTTCAGTTTTTGTTTTCTTTTTCATAAAGAGTCTTTGTATCCAGTGTAATAATTTTTTCCGGGATTTCCCTGCTACTGTGATTTTTATAGGTTTAATGACAAACTTCTTTGGTACCTATTCAACTAATCTTTATGTTAGTACATGTAGACTCACCCTGTCTGAAATATTTGCTTGTGCATAATGATTATTCTGATGCATTCAGACCATGATAGAAGTCTGTAGGTAAAGGAGAGAAAGTGGGGGAAATTCCTCAAGTTTCTTGCAGTGTTGAGAATCAGGGATTTTACAAGTAAAAACACATCCATCCAAAGAAGTATCAGCATTTCTGGAGCTGTCACCAGTCTGTGGCTTGTTCAATTGTTTTACTAGTTTTTCTACTTTTTTTTCCCCGACCAGATAAAATCTGGTGACTGTAGGACTGTAATAGAGCAAAGCTACACTTGTGATGTCATTTCTTGGAAGATTTACCTACCTAGCTGCAGGGATAGATTTTGTTGTAATATTAGTTTTGTCACAGTCTGTGTTTTGAATGTTAATGTTGGGGTCGTTCATGCCTGAGACGGTGGAGATCTGGTTGGCTTTGCCGAGATTCTTAATGATGTTGATGTTGTATTTGGCAGTTTCCACAAAACTATTTTCTAGTAACCAACCATCTGATTCACCCTCCAGATCTCCTAGCAGAAGGACATTCTTCATGGCTGTCTGCAGGTACCGGACACCAATCAGTACAGAGAGCTGTAAGAAACAATTAATGGTTAAACAGCTGAAATTGCAGCCTCAGTCCTATCACTCAGTTTTCTGACTTGTGTATTTACAGGCCTCATAACTGTGTAAAGCAGACAGACTCTTCATCCTAGCAATATGTCTAACCACTTTTCCAGTTAGTTACATTTTAAAAGAAAGATAGCAGGGAGAGAGGGATTGATTCTCTCTTCATTCTTCAAGTAGCAATCCCCACATAAGTACCTAGAATTACTCGTGAACATTGTAGCCTCAGAGGCTGCAACTAATTGATGTAGAATGGATGATCAATTAATGGAACCATCAATCACTGGGGAAGAAAAACTGTAGTATGTTAATTTCAGTTGATTTTTTTTCCCACTGACATTGATGAAATCAATATTTCTTCCAAGGAGGTTTAATTGTTCCTGTGTAAGCCATATGTGTCAAACATGCCAAGGTATGAAAATTAAGAAGGATGGCGTATAGCAGAGGCTCAAGTGTAAGCTTAGGAAAAAGCCCCACTTTCATTGTTCTGTTAGAATCAAGATCAGCTTGTCAATATTTAAGGGAACACAGAGAGCTGCCTCACAGCTTTTCACATGCTTCAGGTTATTTCTGGCACCACAACCCCTCCTAGAACTGCCTGAGGACTGTTGTGAACGACTTAAATTACAATGCTAATATTTATGTAATAAATAGAGCAATAGTAAAAAACCTAAAACATACTCAAAAGGTAAGAAAACTGGATTGGAGCCTGTGCCATTGGGGAGTCCTTTACTTGTAGATGACAACATCCAAAGAACTCTTCTTTACAGACGTCAGCAGGAGCACTGCAGCTTTGCAGGCGTGTAGCTCGCCTGGGATGTGCTTATTTTGATTGCATAATCAGCAGCCCAATCTACTTCTAAAAGGATGATATGCCATGACTGCAAGTACTGTCTATATGGTGAAACTATAAAAAGGCTTTGAGATATTAATAAAATGCTCAATTTTAATTATAAACAAAAATTAATGCATTGAGCCAAAGACCTACTCATATTTTATATGTTTCTTAAAACTGATTTAAAACAACACTCAGACCTTCTCACCAAATTTCCTTGCATTTGTGTCACTGCATAGATCATCCTGTTTCTGATCCCATAAATACATCAGGAAAGGGAATTGCTATATTCTGTTTGAAAAAGCTCTATAAATTATATACATTATGTAAAAATTATATACATAGTTATATAGTATATAATTACATACATAATCTATAAATTATATACATAGTTTCTGATAGTTCTCATCCTTAACAAGATTTCCTTCTGCTCGGTGGACTTTGGAAAAGTTGTCTTTACTGAAAGAAACCCTACAACATTCCTGAAGTGCTTGTGGACTTTATACTGGATACTGAGGCACTTCTCATGTGTTATGCCATCATCATTTTCCATCCTGGAGAGATAGAAGACTGATTAATCTGATAGAGTCCATTTTTGTGAGACTTACCTCGAACAACCAAATAAGCAATGCTGCAATGCCAATGGATCTCATGATACCAGTGTAGTAATCCAGCAGGGCCTCTCTGCACCCCTTCATCCAGATATTGAGCTCCTCTGTGAGGAAATCGTAGTTGTAGTGAGCACTGTTGTTTGTCAGCTGGTACTGGATGCAGGGCCGTGGCGAGCTGGGGTTGCAGCAGCTGAAGGGGACTCCATCCACCAAGAACTTCCCATCAACGTTGCTCTTCAGACGGCTGCAACAGGACAAAGTCTGGGCATTACAAACCTGGTGGCAGCAGCAGGCAGTGCCTGTGATTTTAGAAAGGGGAGTAACACAGCTCTGCTGCAGTGTAGGCCTCTCCAACATAGCAAAAGGAGAATGAGGATACACTCTCAATGGGAAAAGTTGTTTACTGCAGGAACACTGAATATTGGATTTGCTGTATTTAAGTGTGGTATAGCAAAGTACCTCGTGGTTCTGTGCCACAAGACATGAGTTTATTGTTCTGGGAGATGTTGCCTTTTTAGGTATCTTTGTACTGAGTACTAAAGACAATTTTTGGACCTTTTTATCTTGGTGGAAATCTAATGGAAGTTATATCCCTGGAAATACTGTGTTTCTCTACTTCTGGATTAATTTTTCAACCTAATCATTCCATGAGAGGGATCCTAATACAAGAACAACTTTGTATGCCACAGGAACCACTGGAAATCACCTGCTGGCCTTTTGCCACTGTACCCATTGCAAGGGCTGGTCCAGCACATGTTTTGAGACTAATTCACAAGGAAGTTTCTACTTCTTGTAACTTCACTTTCTGTAACTTTAAGAAATATATTTATTACTAAAAATATTCCTTTCACTCCTCTGTAAGATCAGGAGGAAAACAAGTGGTGAAATAAGAAAGATAAAGAGGAATAGGAAAAAAAAAATCATTGGATGGAAAGAGAACACAGTCTCAAATTAACCAAGATTTTTCTGGAAGATAAATGAATCCTTGGCATCTGTTTTCTTCAGAGAAAGAGAATTTCCAGAAACTGGACAGTATCTAAGAGGCTGAGAGACACTCTCACACCTTGGAGAAGCAATCTCTAAGCATGTATCTATTTTTACGCTTGGCGGAAAAGGCTGATTTCCTGAGACAGCCCCATGGGTGAGAACCATGTTCTGCTTTATCAAGCCCCTTTGTAAGGGGACCATAATACATGATAGATAATTTTCACTTAGATATACAGCATTCACTATTTGCCAATAGTAAATTTTCTACTATTTTCCAAAACGTACTAATTTATTAATGTTTGCAAATAATATTTTTCTGTTCGAGCACAGCTGATCTAAATGAGAGGAAAAGAAATCATTACAAGAAGCTCATTAGGTAAACAGAATGAGCAGAAACACTGTGGTCCAGTCTTGATCTGGAATTTCAAATTAATATATGTAAACTTCAAATGAAACATGAGCTGCTAGGAAGCTCAGTATTTGTGTCAGTGCTGTGATGGCTGAAAAATTGTTTTTATTTTATTGCTGTGAGCCCACTAAATACATCCTCCTTTTTTGTTTCTTGTCCTTTTCTTCCTCTCTTTTTAATTTGGGTTGTAGTGGTTTTTTCTTTTATTTAAAATTCTCTCAAAAACATTTTCCTCAAAGATCTTTCCAGGTAAACCAGGAAGTTCACCTGCCATTTCCCACTCCCATTAGGAATGAGATAGGCATGAATTTTTCTCCATTTTCAAGTCTAGCTTTTCATTTTGTTGCCATCATATCCCTGGCCATGGCAACAGAATGGTGTCAATGCAAAAGAGTCCAAACAATCCACTGAAAATAGACTGAAGTGTGTGAGCCATGTCAGGGGCACAGGAAAAACCAAGCACTGGAAGGGGAGGGAGCCAGAGAGGCACAAACCAGAGGGCTCCAATGTGGGTGGAGAAAAGAAAGCTCACAGAGGAGAGGAAGACTGGCACGTTGTGAAAGGGAAGATCTTACCTGGAAAGGCTAAATGCCCTCTATGTTTCAGGGTATTAAATATATTTAATGACCCCAGTATAGTACAGCATTCAAGATGGTTGAAATACAATGTCTTAAACTGGGTCTTAAGCTTTTCTTTTGATTCCATTTGATGAATTTAAATACTTTCTATTGTTCCAGGCGTGTTATAAAGAGAAATCCTCTTTCTGCTGCCAACAATAGCAGTTTTTAGACTTGGGTTATTCTTCCTGCCACTGTGTTTCCTCTGCTAGTGGCAAATTTAAAAATTATGTCATTTGTGTCTTGGTACTTAATAGTATCTTGGTACTGTTAGAAGGGAAGACCTTAGTAAAAGAGTTGGTGGAGCAACACCTTCACTGCTATTTGCTGTTGCAATTCTAAGTTGTTATGGTATTGTAAAGCAAAAATTTGCTTTTGAGCAAATATGATTTTTACCCAACCAAAGCAATGGTAGCATTGTACTGCTGTAAGCTCACATTCCTACCATTCCACTGACTGTTTCCATGCCTTGTCAAATTGTGGTGTTGGCAATAGAGCTGTAGAACAGGATTTTGCAGGAAGGTGAAAAGTTCCTTTTTCCAAAAGGTTACATGTGAGTTCACAGTATGTCAGATCTCACCTGCTTTGCCTCTTGCTCTACAAACTACTGACACAGAGTACAAGTTGAAACCAAGATTTGATTCCTTCTCTGTCCTTTCAGAACATTACCAGTTGGGCTTTGCTTCCAATGATTTAATAGCAAATGTTTGACTCCCAGATTTTTGGAAGTCATGGTGTTGTTTTGTTATGCAGCACCAACTTGGATTCTGCCAATCAAGATAAAATTAAGCAATTTAACCGCAGCAAAAGAAATTCAGAAATTAATTTCCTCACACATATGTCACTGTCACCTTCTGCCTAAATGGGGAAAAAGCTAACTGACAGTGTATTCTAAAAACAATGACAGAGCACAGGTGAGCCTGCAGAAGAAAACACAGCTTAATTAAGACCCTGGGTAAAACATCACTGTTTCTGCCTCTCTCACAGAAATAAAAGGAAGTATATTTTACTTTTGACCTCACACTAAGCTACTACTCTTAAATTCCTGGGGATCATCTTTGTTGTCATGTCACTTTTCAGCAGAGACCCAAGACTTGAAACAGCTCTGGGTCAGTGTTGTGCGTGACACTTTCTGACTTCTGTCTTGAGAATGCTTGTATTGCTGTATTTCCACAGACAAGTGTCCTCTGTATGCTGATGCCCTCGTTTGTATTCTCCTAGGTCCTGCCCTCTGGCATATTTGCAGCTTTCTATATATGCTTTGCTATCATGGCAGTTTCAAATTGCAAATTCTGTAAAATTAAGACCTTTGGCCTCCCTGTCTCTGGCTTCATTGTCACTGATTTTTGAGTTCAACAAGATGCAGCATTTGACAAATGCCAGTCAAGCTCTTTCCATTTGTCTTTCCTGGAAATGCAAAGCTAATACTCTTTTGTCAGTGAAAACCTTCTTCAGCTTTAGAAGAATTATTACAGACTGGATTGTCTACTTTTGGATGTTTTTAATTTTTATCTTCCCTGTAAGTATTACCACTCTTCTTTTAAAGCATATAATTTCACAATTGCTACATCATGTGAAGCACCACCAGCAGGAAGAAATGGGGGATTTCTGCTTTTTTATGCAGTGTATGTGATGTTTGGCAGTTTCTCACATGTAAACATACAGATTTGAACTTGGGATTGCAAAGTCTAATACCTTGAAGAAGAGGGGTCTTTCAGTGCTTAGAATTGACTGTGCAATGTACTGATAGTACAATCCTTTTCTTACTGTTATCAGCTCACTGTAAATGAAATTAAAATTTTGAGGTAGCTAATTCACCACACTGAAAAAGGAAATACATCTTTGCTTTGCTTGGCATCCCTAAAGACTTAGCAAAAGACAACTTTTTACTGTGCATGTATTTAGCATATTTTGTGAGTAACCTGGTGATTCTGCATTTTTTTAATTAAGGTACAAAGGTCCAGAAAAAAAGGGCTTTCCAGTCTTAAAAGAGTTTTTCTTCTAGAATTTTTTGTTAAGACTGATAAATACTTACTCCAGAACCTCCTTGGAAGCCATATTCAGATACCGAGGAGATACCCACTGAATTTCAAACCAGTCTCTAAAACCATTGTTTCCACAGCAACGGAATCCAATTTGTAACAAATCCACTGTTTTCTTTAAGAAACATCGCCCAGGTATGTCTGTGTCTTTATAGAACTTAATGGCATCCCTCAGTCCGAGATAGAGAGACTCTTCCAGCTCGTTCCTCATGGTGTAGCACATGAGAGCGCCCACCAGGATGCAGAAGGTGAAACAGAAGGTACATACGATGTATGGCAGCATTACTAGTTTCCAGCGAGAGAACTTGTTTGCATCTGAGCAGTCGTAGCAGATTTTGCCCCCCAGAAAGTTGATGATACATGCTATGACCCCTACAGAGATCAGCATGTTGGGGACAGAGTTAATGTCCCCTTTTGCCATCACTTCATTGCGCTTCTTGATCTCTATTTTCAGAAAGAGGCCAAGACTGAAGAGAATGATCCCACTCACTACAGAAACCCAGTTGAGGATCCATAAGATCTGAGCCAATTTGTCCCTCTTGGTTTTGGTGAATTTGACTTTGAGGACAGCCATAGTCAGACACGCATTAGGAAAAGAAGCGTAGGTCAAGGGAAGCTCATAAGCTGATTAGGAGCATGGATCCAAGGCGTGCAGTAGAAATCTGAAGAAGAGGGAGAGAGATTACTGTCTGTTTGACCAGGTATTTATAGAGCCTACAAAAGAACTTCCTGCACGAACTCATGCACTCTGAGTCCTGCCAAGGGAATGTCCCAGTGAAATTTATTGCTTAAATTTCATAACAATGTGAATGAATCACTTTAAAAAAATGTCTAAGGACCAACTAGAGCAATTAAAAGTAAGTGAATAGTATGAACAGAGACTCTGGATTCCTATGAATTTTTGTCAAGACCAATTTTCTGTGCAGACTTGATATCTAAAAGTGAACTGGTCTGCTGTCTTTTCTTCAGAAGACTCAGTGTCTTTCCCTTCTATTTGTTGCCTGTATTTTTTTAAATAATTATAGGTATTTATTATTCTTAGGTTCCTGTGTTATGGTCAGGTTTGTGTTCAAAAGTTGAATAAACAAACATATATACAGCCTTCTTTTTGTCTTTCCTCTCCAGAAAACTTGCTTGTCTTGTTCCTAATTTGGCAACTCTCATTAGAGTGATTTTATACTGTAAAACTCTGCAATGTATAATTATATAGTCATTTAATTCCACTAATACAATGACATTTATAAACAGTAAATTGTAATCCTGTAAATCTGGGGAAATAGAGATGTATAAGCATCATAATATTTTCTAAATTAGTGGATGCTATTACTGAATAAAACCTGGATCAGCTAAAACAGGATGAAAAACACCTGGGGACAGACAAGCTGGACAAAAGGAGGGCTACATTGACCCATAAAGGATCCCCAGCTGCAGTGAAGCTTAGCATTGGGTAAGCAGATTGTTGCAGAATGCAGTTTAAAAAGGTAATGGAATCCCAGCCTCTTCATGTGTTTACGTCTGAAGGAATCAGTTCAGTTTGTACAGGCAAGGAATACATTGTTATTCGTATTAGGATATGGCTAAATATTTTCATACACTAAGATTTTAAGGCCTGTGAGATCTAATTAATTTAAGTTTCATTTATTTACTCCTGCATTTACAGATAAAACTGATTCCTCTCAAAGCTATTTGGCTCTTTGTATCTGTACAATATAGAGAATAGTGTACAAAATGCACAGTATTTTTTCTTACCAGTCTATTTCCAAAGGTGTTGAGGCTAGCAGCTTTCTGAATTTAAAAACAGGGTCCTAGTTGTAATGATTGTTAAGGCTGATTATCAGCTATGGCTGAATATTGGTTGTGATCATATTGTGATAATCATATAAATGATAGACACCTTACAGAGATGTCCAAAGAATAGTCATTTATAAAATTACAACACTTGCTTCACACCAGTCTTCTCCAGTACTGTTCAGACCTCCTTTGAAGGGATCATGCTCTGGTGGTACAGAATTAAGCTTCCCTGTGAATTCAGCTGACAGCCTGAATAAGCCTGCTAAGCCTGGAGACAGTATCTTTGATTGCTTCACCAGTTAAGCAGTTTGTGACTTGACCTTAAATAACTGTAAATGATGGCTGCTAATAGATTTATTTGCCCCTGATACTCAGAGCTCACAACAGCAAGAATCTGTTGTGAAATTTCTGATTGCTGATACACCGTTCATGTTCAATGGCCAGCACACATGAATGTATCACTCACTGTTTGTTTCTGTGAAACACATATTTGAACAGTGCCTCAAAATTGTTCAGCACACAATTAGTTACAGTGTCACTGAAAACACCCTACTTGTCAAACATAGTTAATTTTAACATTTGGACAAAAGTTGTAAATAGTTCTACTCAAAATTAATCTACTCCAGAGGCATTGTTGATTTTTGAAGATGTAGATTTGAGACTTTGTCATATTCTAGCCATAAAGATATTTGAAGTTGAGTTCCATAAGCAAGGATACATTCAATCTCAGGTAGCTGTTCTGTCCCTAATTTTCAGATGCCTGAATTTTAAAAAAAGTAAAAAGTTTCTGTGGAAAAAAAATTCTCCTGGTAATTCCTTGTCTCCAGAAATTCTCATAAGGTATTCTTAGCTTTCTTTGTGCTTTTTAAGTATTGTTGTAGGATCAGATTTCCTTGAATATTTGACATTTATCTTACAGTGCTACCCACACCAACAGCCTAAGATCTGTGATTTCATGGAGTCCTAGTGCCAGAGAAAAGGGATGGAATGGCTGGTTGTTGTAGTTCAAAGACCACTTGTTGACTGACCCTGGCTGTCACTGATATACTTGGGATTGATCTTTGGGAGACACTGTGCTTCTCATGAAACCTTGAGTGCATTGAATCTGGGACAGAAGAGCAAATTATCTATTCTGTTCCCTGTTCCTAGCCTTCTACATGGATACTTATGTTAAGATTTTCACCCGTGCTAACAGTTTAATAGAATTTATTTCTGATAATAAGATTCTCTTCATATCATAAAGAATTTTATAAATGCATCATAACATTATTCTTTCCCTAACTGTTTAATAAAGTATTGAATACTAATACACTTATTAGTGTAAGATCTATTGGAACACATGCACAGCTGTGTAGTATAATTTTTTGAACGCCATGAAGAAAGGTTTTCCAGCTGAAAGAACTGAACTGCAGTTATTAGCTAAAAGTGTCAGTCTTGCTCTGCAAACTGTGTCTGTTCTCTCCAAGTCATAGTTGGCAGTGGGTTACTGTAAAGCCACAAATGACCCAGGATTTCAGTGGAAGTAACGCCTCTGTCATAGTTCTCAGAAACCTTTGCATGTGAGCCCCTCCGGAGTTATGAATCATACACACACAGACATACTTTCCCCAGCTATGGGACAGCAAACTGGATTTTATTCTCTAAAGGGAGAAATAATTCTTTCAACAAAAGAAGACAAATAAGTGTGGAAATCTGTCCCATAGTATCAATACTGTTCTCAAGCTTTCTTTGTCTAATGCAAATTTATCTAACTTTAAACACAGCTTCCATCACCATACAATTTGCTTCCAAGATGTCACCTACCTGTTCCTTTGTTATCAAATTCCCCTAACTATATTGAACAAGACATAGCACAGCTATTTCTTAATAACATTTACTTGTTAGATACAAATTGTTCACAGAAATTTTGCTATTTTGTCATAAACAAGCCCCATCTTATCTTACTGGTTTTGTTAAAATCTGCTATTTTAGCTAAACATACATTGATATTTGTGACATTATAAAAGAAACCACTAACCTGCTTCAGAGGCCTGAACAGGATCTCAAAACTGGTAACTTGCTGAATAGAAGGGAGAAAATACCTGAATTGGACATCCTGAGGATGACTGAAATACTGATTTCCTGATGTCTCTGTAGTTGCTCTGGCTTCACACTGACTCACCAACAGAGATGGAGAAACCACTTCAACTCTCCTGCCTGTGCTAATCTCTCCTTCATCTCTAATCGTAGCTAAGAGATTTATTTCAAGGTTCTTATGCCACCAGATTAAATCCTGCAAAACAGGCCAATTAACTGAGTGTGAACTGAGATTCTACCAACAAAATGGTTTATAGGACTTTCTTCTACCTTTTTACCCTGCTGGAGATTTGGGCTAGTAAGCAACATAACTGTTTTTTAGTACCTGCTGATGTCTTCAGTAGCTCTTAACTTGTTATTAACAATAAATATGCCTCCAAAGGAGGGAAGAATGGGAATAATGAAGCTTTGTGATTCTGTGGGAAGGGAAAATCTATCTTAGGCAACTGTCATTTATATCCACTATTATGTTCCTTACCCATCATTCCATATTTTGTTACTTTGGATGAAATTTTCTGTTCTCTGTGTATTGAATGTGATTGTCCAAGAAAAGAATTCAAGTAACCAAGAGCAATTGGATCATCTGTGTGATTCACGGTAGCTTCTGGTTTGGGAAGCTTTTGAGGTTCAAGAACAATCTAATAGAAACCTCTGTCCTTGTCTCTTATCTAGCTCTATTCCAAGCCAGAAGCAAAAGCAAAGGTGTCATGTCCTCTGGCTTTTCTGAGCCATGTAGCAATTTGTGGGACAGACGTGGCTGGTTTGAACTGGCAATGGTCATGGCAACAAGCTGAGTCTGAGCAGGTGATGTCAGTACCAAAACTGAATCCCTAAGCAGGACCTGTTTGAGCTGTAGGGTCCATATCTATAACACCCTAGCACAGCAGAGAGAGTTCAGTGGGCACATGGCTGACTGCAAGAGATGCTGCACCAGGCATTGTAAACGTGTAGAAATATTCTCAGAAGCATAAACTGTCCTCTCCTGGCTTATGATAAGCAATAAACCAGCAACCTGATATGACTGTGATTCTAACTCTGTGTTCTGGCAGTACACTGGCTCTATCCTGCCTGTGTCCCAATGATTCAGAGCATATGTGATATATCTGTTGGACCTACTGCATATGGACCACACAAATGCTTGCATATGATCAAATGCACCCCAATTGCATTGAATTAATCCTGTGCACCAGTCATTCATGCTTTGGACTTGTACTCGTGCAGACCACAGGGAATATTTTAGATCTGTTCAAATGTGTTGGTTTGTGTACAGATCAACTCCATGGAACCATATTCAATAGGTATAATGTATTCCTTGGGTACAGCACAAGCACACAAATGTACACATTTTGAGCTGTTGTTCAGCTGGTATGTGATATATCAGAAATCCTGGAGAAATGGCTGTAGTACTTTTCTTTGCTAAAACAAAAGCTCACTTGTGAAAACTCTACCCATCTCCAGAACGACAAAGGTGTTAGCCCTGAGTGTTAGAAAATGTTAGTGCCTCAGTTACCTAGTAGCAGGAAACTGCACCTTCCCTGTGGCTGCTTTGCAACACAAACCTTGTACCGGCGTGCAAGCAGGAGATGGCAGTGCTGCTGTATGAAGGCTTTTTCTACAATACAGAGCAAGAAGCTTTTTGCCTTTTTTTTTTTTTTCCAGTTTGCAGTAGAGATTAGAGGTCATTCACACAGCTAATGGAAGCTCAAGAATGCCTCATTGTAAGAAATTACTTAAATCCAATTGTAATGCAGTTAGAGGTCAGTGCTACCTGTATTTTTTGTTCCATCTCATATTT